TTTTTTCTTTTTGCTTATGTGGTGCTGAGGAATGGAACCCAGGGCCTCAGGCATGCAAGGCAAGCACTCTACCACTGAGCCACCTTCCCAGCCCCAAGCAGAAAAATCTGGAAGTGGTACTGTGGCTCAAATGGTAGAGCACTATCGTTGAGCTGAAAAGCTGGGAGATAGAGCCCAGGCACCGAGTTCAGGCCCCATGACCAAAAAACAAAAAAATTGTTCAGGCCCCATGACCAAAAAAAAAAAAAAATTGAAAAGCAAAATATGAAGTTTGTATTCTTTATGGTTTGAATTTTAGGGACAGTTTGCTACTTTATTAGGTAAATTTGAAATAGAAGAAGCTTCATGTATTATCTTATTACTGTATTTGAATTCTGTAGAAGTTGTTTCTGGACAGTCTACGAAAAGCACTTGCTGGCCATGGAGGAAGCAGGCAGCTGACAGAAAGTGCTGCCATTGCTTGTGTCAAACTGTGTAAAGCAAGTACTTACATCAACTGGGAAGATAACTCTGTCATTTTCCTACTAGTTCAGTCCATGGTGGTTGATCTTAAGGTAACATTCTTTCTTTACTACAAAGTATAAGAAAATTAGAAAGAATAAACTTTAATATAAGTATTGTGCCAAAGATAATTGCTAGCTCTAAAGTTCTGAGTCATCTTGATATTAAGTTCTTAAGGCGTGCTTTTGTTGTTAATATGTTCATTAGCCTAGACTGCAAATATGAACAGCAATACAATATTCACTAGTTTTCTTGAGTATAAATTTATAGACTTGGGTTTAAAATAATACAGAAACTGTGGCCTAAAAGGAATCACATGTGGTGTAATAAAGTCTTATATCAGATTGAGGAACCATAATATTAGTTTTTTGTACTTTTTGTCAACTGAAGATTATACAATTTGTGTGGATAATAAAAATTCAGGTAAAAAATACTACATAAATATTTAAAAGCCTTTGTTTTCTACTGGGATTTCTGTAGAACCTGCTTTTTAACCCAAGTAAACCATTCTCAAGAGGCAGTCAGACTGCAGATGTGGATTTAATGATTGACTGCCTTGTTTCTTGCTTTCGTATAAGCCCTCACAACAACCAACACTTTAAGGTAAGAGAATTGGTTTTTATTTACCTGTGTTATAAACATGAAAATACTGGGAAGATGAACAGGTGCACCTTTATCAGTATTTCTTGATTTTATGTATTAATTTGAATTTCATGACCTTAACGTTTTTATTCAGTTTTAAAAAATATTTTTGTGGTTGCTTTTCATTTGTATTAATGAATATTTTCCTCATAGACATGATTTTTTCCCCCTTATTTCTGTAGATCTGCCTGGCTCAGAATTCACCTTCTACATTTCACTATGTGTTGGTAAATTCACTCCATCGTATCATCACCAATGTAAGTCCAAAAGGTATTGCTAATTTACTGAAAAGTAAAATTTTATTTCTGCTCTGAATTGGAATGTCCTTATTTTTTTACCTTTAAAGAACAATGCTCTTGGTTCTCACAAAGGTTCTGAACTTAGATGGTATGATGTAGGATGATAGCTCTAAGGTTATTGTATCTAGTAAGTGATATAAAATTGTATTTTTCATGTTCTATCTTGGCCAAAACATTTATTAAGAAAGAGTTATTAGAGTCTTTTGGAAAGAATAAACTTGAATCATTTTATTTAGATTTATAGCTCTTGAGAAGACCTACTGAAAACATAATGAATATTTTCTTTTCTTTTTTTTTTTTTTTTTGTCGGTCGTGGGCCTTGAACTCGGTGCTTTAGCGCTGTCTCTCAGCTCTTCAGCTCAAGGCTAGTGCCTACCACTTGAGCTACAGCACCACTTCTGGTTTTCTGGTGGTTTATTGGAGATAAGAGTTTCACGGAGTTTCCTGCTGGGGTTGGCTTTGAACCACAATCCTCAGATCTCAGCCTCCTGAGGTGCAAATATGAACAGCAATACAGTTAGGATTACAGGTGTGAGCCACCGGCGCCTGGCTATAATGAATATTTTCATCTGAAAGCTCTTCACATGTTATTTGAACACTTTTAGCCCAATTCCAACATTTGATACATTCTGACTTAACACCTTGCCATGTAAAAACAACATGGCACATTTATAGAATGGTGAAGATCATTTATAATGGTGTTTTGGTACCTCTCATACTTTCAGTCTTTCTTAAAATGCAGTTTTAACAACACTACAAAATAGATATTTACAATATACAAAATTGTGTAAATTTTTTAAGAGATACTTGTGATATGGGTATATTACATATGGATTTAAAAAAATGCTATTCACCTAGTTAAAACAGTTGTGATTCGAAGGTTCTCCAGTGCTTTTTTATTTATTTTTTATTTTTATTTATTTATTTATTTTGGGTCTGGTCATGGGCCTGAACTCTGGGACTGGGCGCTGCCCCTCAGTCTTCAGCTCAAGGCTAGCACGCTACCACTTGAGCCACAGCGCCACTTCCAGCTTTTTTTTTGTTTTTTGTTTTTTGTTTTGCTTATGGGTGCTGAGGAATTGAACCCAGGGTCTCAAGCATGCAAGGCAAGCGCTTTACCACTGAGCCACCTTCCCAGCCCCTCTAGTGCTTTTTTATAGTTATACTTTTATTCATTTATATTTACACTTATATGTCAAGATAATTATCCAAATATTCATGTCTTCCTTTCTTAAGGCTTTGGTCATTAATTACTTAGTATATTTATACTATTTAGAATTAAATTGTTCAAGACTCCTGTAAAGTAAACTACCTCCCCAATGTGCCTTAAATATATTGATTGAAACCTAATACCACCCACATTTTCTTTTAGACATTCCTATAGGAAAAAATAACTGTTGATAGATAAAACTAGTGACTTAATTTTCTTGGTGCATTATTAGTAGATTTTTGGAAGATAATTCTTTGTTATGCAGAACTGCCTTGGGTGTTGCAGAACATTTAGTATCTCTGGTCCTTATTTCATTAATTGCCATTTGTGCTGCATCTCTCACATTGAGAACAACTAGATACCCAAAGGAGTGATACCTCTCTTATTTGAGTATCACAAGTATCACAAGAGGTCACATTGATTACCCTTTGATTCTAAGAAGAAAATTTAATCTAATTGTAGATAAGATATGCTTGTATTAAGAACTTAAAAATTACTGTACTTTTACTAATAAAATGAGCTAAGATACTGTCTTAAGATCCTGTTTTACTTTCAAGAGAAAAAGCCCCCTCCCCACCACCAAGTTTCTATGCTATTTAGAAAGAAAATGTAAACTTTTCCCTCTTGACTCATAATACTAAAACATTCATTTATTCAGGATGGATAATTTTACATAAATTTTTAAATTTGTATTTAATAAACCCAAGTATATGCGCTTTGAATACTTTGTGGCTAGTTACTTTAATTGTGAAATATTTTTGTCTACAATTGAATATATAGAGCACGTTCAAGCATGGACTTGGCACTGCTGTAAGTGGCTGAGCTGCTCCTTTCTGGGTTTTAAGCATGCCTGGAGTGGTCCTTCATGCATGCCTCATTGTACTTGGTGACAGTGGTGTTCATCCTCTGTACTCCGATGAGTACTGCATTTGTGAAGGTGGAGTGTGTCTGTATCCCAGATCATGTCACTTTAGACATCAGTCTATATAGAGAAATTATTGACTATGATTTTTAAATCTTAAGCATCAATAATGTTTGAGTTACTTTCAAGCTTGAAAGTAACAAATAGTATGTCAGAGTGTCTTTTAAAGTTATACTTTAGATAGTAACACTTTGTCATTTCAGACTGTTTGGTCAATTAATTCTCATTCATATTTTCTTTTTATGGTTCTGGGGATTGAATCCAAGGCCTCACACATATTAGGCAAATGCATTATCACTGAGCTATCTCCTACCTCCAGTAAATTGTTTCTCAAGAAATGTCTCATCTCCACTTTCCTTTAAGTCCAGTAGATATTAAAGCTAAAATACTTCCTCACTTTAAAGGATGACATATAAAAGTAGATATTCAAATACTGTGAACTGGCAGAGTCTTACTAAAATAGGTATTAGGGAAATATTTTTATGTCTGGAATTCATATGAATTTTTCTAAGCTACTTGAGCTCAACAAAATTAATTTATGCTAAAAGGTTTCTTTTTAATGACTCTTGGTAAATACACCTTATGAGTTCTTTTCCATGGTTTTTAAACAGTTCACACTGTTTTTGAAATTAATCACATTCTCAAATACAAGTTTTATTGATGTGTTTTTGAAATTTATGTAGAAGTAGTAACAGTGCTTGCAATTTTATTTTGCTTCTGTGAGACATATGCAGTTCATAAGTATTGTTTAGATCTGAAATTTTCCATTGAATTTTATTGCAATGACAGTTTTTAGTTTCTAAAATGTTACTTGTACTGTCACCATTTTTTTGTGGTGTACTACAAAGAAGTAAATTGTAGTTGTGAAATCTGTGTTATATACTTAATCTTAGCAGCTGTCCTTCCCTTTTCCTCCCTGCACTTCCCCATCTTTCTCCCCTCCCTCCCCTCTTCTTTTTGAGACAATAGCTTACTATATAACCTGGCTAGATTTAAACCTGTGATTTTCCTGCCTCAGTCTCTCAAAGTGCTGGAATTATAGGCATGAACCACCAAACCTGACTTGTATTTGAGCCTCCTGTAAATAGTTTCTAATCCATAGGTTTTGTTGTTGTTATTGTTGTTGGCTCTGGGGCTTGAACTCTGGGCCTGGGTGCTGTCCCTGAGCTCTTCAGCTCAAGGCCAGTGTTCTACCACTTGAGTCACAGCACCACTTCCGGTTTTGTAGTAGTTTATTGGAGATAGAGTCTCACAGACTTTCCTGCCAGGCTGGCTGTGAACTGTGATCTTCAAATCTCAGCCTCTCAAGTAGCTAGGATTACAGGCGTGAGCCACTGGTGCATGGCTAATCCATAGTTTTGATTTATGTTAACATAACTTGTTACTACTAAAAATATTGTGAGAATTATGAGTGAGAAGTTAAATGTTGAAACTAGCTTAATTTTGAGTAGGAAGGAATGTGGGAAAAGGTTGTTAAGCCTTTGTGTGTGTGTGTGTGTGTGTGCGTGTGTGTAAACTGGGACTTGGGCTTGAACTCATGGCCTAGTGCTCTCATTTGGCTTTTCTCACTCAAGGCTGATGTGACATTTGAGCCACAACTCTACTTCTGGCTTTTTACTGGTTAATTGAAGATAAGCGTGTCATGGACTTTTCAGATCTCTTGCTGAGTAGTTAGGATAGGCATGAATCACTGGTGTTTGGTTCAAAGTTCATTTTTCTATGAACTGATAGAGAGAAAAAGGTCATAGTTTAGTGATTTTATGTCATTTTTATAATTACTAATTTTTAAAAAGATAAGCTTCTAAATAAAATAGGCATTTAGAACTAGGCATTTCAGTGAGATAGGTTAAACAGAGACAAAGAAGAATTTATGCAAAATAATAATTCCCTAATTATTGAGGCTGTGATGTAGCCCAATGATAATTTGCTTAGCATGTGCAAGGCCTTGGGTTTGATCCCCAACACCATAAACAAGCAAGCAAACAAACAAAACATTAATACCCTAAAAATACTTAGTGAGCGTCAGTTTGTCTTTGTTTATGGTGATCATTAGTCTTTTCTTGTACCGTGCCATCATTGCATATCAATTTATCTTGTAATTATCATTATTGTTCATAAGCTTTTAAGCAACACTGTATTCTTTCAACTTTGTGTTGAACTAGTGGTTGCTTATAAAGATTTGAGAATAATATTCTGTGTGTGTGTGTGTGTGTGTGTGTGTGAGGGTGTGGGTGTGGGTGGGTGTATAGGTGTATGGGTGTATGGGTGTACTGGTCCCCAAGCTTAGGGCCCAGGTGCTATCACTTTAGCTTTTTTGCTCAAAACTAGTGCTCTACCACTTGAGCCACAGGTCTACTCTGGCTTTTTGGTGGTTTATTGGCGGTAAGAGTATTATGCACTTTCCTGCCCAGGCTGGCTTCAAAGTGTGATTTTCAAATATCATTCATCTGAGAAACTAGGATTATAAGCATTAACCACTTGTTCCTTCTTGGTGATAGCATTTTTACTTGAAAATGAGAAAAAAAATGCATGTGTTTCTGATATGTGTAGCAAATTTAACTTTAGATTAAAAGAAAAAGAGTAATATTGGCTAAAGATTTCTCCAGAGACTTGGCTTTCAAATTCAGTAGATTGTCCAAGAGAAAAGAGTCTTGTATGTACATACTCATTGTATTTCACTTAAAAAAATTTTTTTTTGGTTATTCAGTATTGGGTTTGAAATAAGAGCCATATACTTGCTAGGTAAGCTTCCCATCACTTGTGCCATGTTCCCAGTCCTATTTTAAAATATGAATGGGCTAATGTTTGAGTTAAAGACATCACATCAAAAATGAAAATCATGTGTGTTTGCATGGTCTTATAGAATGTTTCTGACAGAAGAATAGAATGTAACACTACAGTGATAACAGCATATAATTCATGTCATTTTGTACTTTTTTCCTTATGGTCTTTGTTTATTTTCAGTCTGCATTGGATTGGTGGCCCAAGATTGATGCTGTATATTGTCATTCAGTTGAACTTCGAAATATGTTTGGTGAAACACTTCATAAAGCAGTGCAGAGTTGTGGGGCACACCCAGCAATACGGATGGCACCAGTAAGAAATCATGAATTTGAATCTCACCACCTTTCTGTTGTGTTTTTTGTGTCTTTATCTCAGTCCTGATGACTTGATTATTTCAGAGAATAAAATGTGTTCATCCTTTCTTGTAAATGTTATGCTATGTTATAGTATTTCTATGTCAGAAAATACATTTGTTTTCCACTGTTGAGTTAGTTGAACTTATTTTTCTTACAGAAAATTTTTCATAAAATGCCATCAAAATCTTTATGAATACCACTTTTCCATCTATTTTTTAGTTCCTTTTTTATATCAAAATATTTTGATTACCTTCTCACTATTAGAGGATGAATAAAGGAAGCTGACTTCTAAGTTAGTGACTACACCTTATTGGATGCTTAATATGCCATATAGGAAATTAGAAATAGAAATTTAAAATTTTAATTTAACATAAAACATTTCATACCTTAGTAAATATAATCATTTGGTAAAGTTTGAGCAATTTATAACGATTCAAACTTCAATTGAAGTTTGACTATTTAAATTTAATAAAGTCTTTACATAGTTGTACAAAGGGGTTTCAATATAACATGTCAATTTATGAGTACAGTGGAGCCAAAAACTTCTTAGTCTAATAGGGTGTGTGTGTGTGTGTGTGTGTGTGTGTGTGTGTGTGTGTGTGTGTGTGGTGTGTGTGTGTACCTGTACACTGAGGTTTGAATTTAGAACCTGGTGGTGTGTGTGTGTGTGTGTGTGTACACCTGTACACTGAGGTTTGAATTTAGACCTGGTGGTGTGTGTGTGTGTGTGTGTGTACACCTGTACACTGAGGTTTGAATTTAGAACCTGGTGGTGTGTGTGTGTGTGTGTGTGTACACCTGTACACTGAGGTTTGAATTTAGAACCTGGTGGTGTGACCCAACTTTTGTTCTCAGCTAGAGTTCTACCGCTTGAGCCACACCTCCACTTCTGGCTGCTTTTTTTTTTTTTGGGCTGGTTAATTAGAGATAAGAGTCATGAGAATTTGTTTTTCTGGGCTGGCTCTAAATCAAGACTGTGTTCTCAGCCTCTTGAGTAGCAAGGATTATAGGGGTTAGCCATCTGTGGCTTGCTTATTCATGCCCTCTGCAGGTATCAAACTCCAGTACAGGAGATTTGGCAGGCCTGTGGCTTTCTAAGTATGACAGGCCAACATCAGAATGGACAGCCCTTCACTCCCCCATATATCATAGAGTGGTAATGAGGCAGCATTATGTAGGAAGGCTTACTGCTTGACACTAGCAACTTGGGCTATTAGATTTTATTAATAGCCTATAGTGACTGAAGTCAGCTAAGTTTTGAGACAGAGGCATAACTGGGAGTTTTGGAAGCAGAAATAGTTAAGTTTTTACAGACTTGAGGGTCAGTCAGCCACAAGAATCTGCTAGTAGTGTTAAGGTGCCCAAAACAGTCATATTTGTGTGCAGGTTCATATAGCACAGGTATTATTAGAGGCAGCCGGGACTCTGAAGGCATGGGCATGACTACTGTCTGTGGCTACCCCCTTTTTGGTCAGAAGAGTATTGAATCAACTGAAGAGAGAGGCACAGTGAATTTTGGGCCTGTGGTCTGTAAAGTATTCATTATGTAGAGCCTGTTTCCTCTCTATATGCTGACTGCTAAGAAAGATAGCTCTCTTACTGAGATCTAAATCATATGATCTCCATAGCCTCTTGCACACTTCAGAGAGGTGTATGATAATACACATAAGCAAAATGGAAAGTTATTACTATGTGTAAGTCTGTTTTTTCAGTTTTAGATAGTTTTGATTTTATATTTTACTATGTGGATTTTTTTTTCTGTGTATCTTTTTTTTTTTTTTTTTTGCCAGTCCTGGGGCTTGAACTCAGGGCTTGGGCACTGTCCCTGAGCTGCTTTTTCTCACTCTATCACTTGAGCCACAGTGCCTCTTCCAGCCTTTTCAAACCCAGAGCTTCATACATGCTAGGCAAGCACGCTACCACTAAGCCATATTCCTAGCCCTTTTTCTGTATATCTAATATAGGCCATTTACCTTTTAGTTTTGCTTTTTAATATAGCTGACTTAGTCCTTCCCATTTACTTTTCAGTTCTGCTTATCACTCCCTCCCTTCCTCCCAATGCCATTATACCTGAATCACAACAGATGCCTTTTCGTATTTATTATTATTATTTTTTGCAAGTCCTGGGGCTTGAACTCTGAGCCTGGGTTCTGTCCCTGAGCTTCATTTGTTCAAGATTGGCACTCTACCACTTGAGCCACAGTGCCACTTCTGGCCTTTTCTGTTTATGTGGTATTGAGGAATCGAACACAGGGCTTCATGCATGCTGGTCAAGCACTCTACCATTAAGCCATATTCCCAGCCTGTAATATTTATTTATTTTTGTCGGTCGTGGAGCTTGAACTTGGCCTGGGCGCTGTCCCTCAGCTCTTCAGCTCAAGGCTAATGCTCTACCACTTCAGCCACAGCGCCACTTCCAGTTTTTTGGTAGTTTATTGGAGATAAGAGTGTCATAGACTTTCCTGCTCAGGCTGGCTTTCAACAGTGATTCTCAGATCTCAGCCTCCTGAGTGGCTAGGATTACAGGTGTGAGCCATCAGTGCCTGGCTAATATTTAATTATAAATCATATTTTCATCCTCTTTCTGTACTCCTTTCTCATTTTACTTTTCTTTCTATAAGAGTTCTATTGCTCATATTTCATTTTATCCCCGTTCCTTCATCTCTAGTTTTTCCTTTTTATCCACACTCTTACTTTGTGATTAGATTGCTTGAATATCATTTTTTCCTTTTATTTATTTACAGTCTTTGCTTTTGTTGTTGTTACTGTTATTTTATGATGTGTGTTTGTCAGTTTTCTTTATTTTACTTCCTTTTCAACACAAGATTAGCAGCTTTCTGGTACTCCCTTTATTTCTCATTAGTTTTTTTCTATTAGGCTTAACCCTCATACCATCTTTTTCTGTATAAAAAATGCTTAGTATTATTCATTAGTTTACTCCCACTGTCTTCTTGTACTATACCCTGGTTAGCTAATCCGTGAAGACACATCAGTGCTTCTATATAAGTATACAATTTGAAGGTGGGGATGGGAAGGAAAATCTGGGAGAGAGCAAGGGAGGGGTGACATTGTTCAAAAAGAAATGTACTCTTTACCTGACTTAGGTAATTGTAACCCCTTTGTATGTTACCTTAAATTTTTTTTAAAATTCATAAAAAAAGATATTGGAGCAATATAAGTGACTAGTCTTAATTAGAGATTGCAGCAAACACCAGGCTGTGGTTTATGAATTATAAAAGCTTTTGTAGCTTTTTCCCTCATTGTGCTTGACTGGAAAAGAGTTCTGCGCATATATCTTGAGCACTGAAATCAATTATTTAACAAGTAAGACTTGCCTCTCACTGGAAAATACAACTCGGCCATTATCCAGTTTTAAGTAATCTGTAAGCAATCACCAACTTAAATGGCATGTGAGATTGAACTCCCCTCTAAATCTTGGTCCCAGATATGTAATTTTTAGGGAAAAATGTCTAAACAAGGTCATATATTTCCTTCAAAAGTGATCAAATCCACAATAAGTAAAGATACCAATAGTGAAGATGATAGAAGTACAACCAATGAGCTCAATAAATCAGTGATAAGAATGGTTTAAATGTTTAAACATCTGAAGTAATTCAGAGATGACACAAACAGCTAAATATGTAACATTTGAAGAAGGAAATGAATGAGGATACAGAAATAAATTGAAATACTGAAACTGAAGAGCTCATTGGCCCAAATATTTAAAACTGAAAAGCTTTTCTAGTAGTGTAGAGCAAGTTGAAAGTAGGGTATTGGAGGTTGAAGATAAAGAAAGCAGAGGCATTAGATCAAACAGTTAAAGAAACTGAAAGCAACAAGATACAAATGGAATTTATAAGACTTTTTGACTCTATGAAATGATGATACCTATCAATTATAGTTATAGAGGTAGCAGAAGTTCAAACTAAAGATAATTAAAATAATAGTGATAGTGAAATAATGGCAGAAAAACTTCCCAGTCCTAAGGAAAGGTCCTCCATATTGAGGAAGTGTATAGAATACCAAACAGGCTTAAAGAAGAAACACCCCTAGATACATTATAGTTAAAGCACTAAGTAAACAGAGTAAATGAAAGTTGTTTTTATTTATTTATTTTTGGTTGGTCATGTGGTTTGAACTCTGGGCCTGGGCACTGCCCCTAAGCTCTTCAGCTCAAGGCTAGTGCTCTACCACTTGAGCCACAGCACCACTTCTGGTTTTCTGTTGGTTAATTGGACTTTTCTGCCCACGCTGGCTTTGAACTGTGATCCTCAGATCTCAGCCTCCTGAATAGCTAGGATTACAGACATAAGCCACTGGTGTCTGCCTAATAAAAGCTTATTGAAGTTGGAAAAGGGAGAGATTAAGAAAGGAAATCTCATTAAAATTACAGTAGATTTCCTAACACAGACTAAATGCAAGGAGGGCATGGAAGAAAAGAATTCAAACCCTAAGAAGTAACAGTTACCAATCTAGATTCATTTATACAGCAAGACTGTCTTTCATAAAAGTTGATAGAGGTATAAAAACTTTATATGAACCAGGCACTGGTGGCTCATGCCTGTGATCCTAGCCAGCCTGGCAGGAAAAATCATGAGACTCTTTATCAACAACATGCACACAAAAAGATAAAAGACAACTGGGGGCTGGGATGTAGCTCAGTGGCAAAGCGCTTGCCTAGCAAGCGCAACGTCCTGGGTTCGATCCCCAGTACCAAAAAAGAAAAGACAAAAAAAAAATACAGTTAAAAAAAAAAACCCAAAAAGAAAAAGACAACTGGAAGTTGAGTTGTGGCTCAAAGCAGTAGAACAATAGCTTTGAGCATAAAAGCTTAGAGATAGCACCTAGGCCCTGAGTTCAAGCCTGTAACTAACCCCTCCCTCCCCCCCAAAAAACCACTTTATGACTATTAAGTGTGTAATGCAATAGATATTTAAAGCAATCCTATCAGCAGAA